CGTTGCGGGAGGTAAAAACATAGTTGGCCTTTCACTAAAAATCTCAGTTCAAAGGCAAAGAAAAAAGGTTTAAATGTCAAATGCAACCTGAACAGCTGGTTCTGTTCTAGCAGGAAAAAGAGGAAGCTAGTTCAGAAATAAAATGTATATGACAGAATTTTGTTTGGTGAGCCAGTATAGATATCATGGTTAATCACTTGACTATAAAATGTCATCTGAAATACACTAAACAAGATCTTTACACTACAAATACTAACTCTGCAGATACGGGCAATTCTGGACACCAGAAGCTTGTCATAGAATTCAAATTCAACAGCTGTTTCAGTGAAGAACACATAAATTTTATCATCATCTCCACTTGGATTAGATTCACTTTCATGCACTATTTCCATGTTGACAAAGCTTGGTTCTGAAACACATAAATACACAAAAATTTTAAGTTTATTCCAAGAAAAACATAAATGCCAGATATTTTAAAATTAAGTGGACTACTGGAACAGAAAAGCGCTGAAAAGTATTTATGAATCTATCAAACATTAAGAGAAGAAAATGTGCTTTCATAAATGGGAAGGGGCTGTGGCTCATCTCATCACTTCAGTCTGTAGTAATGAATTTCTTTCAAATTCTGTCCTTAGTTCAAAAGCTGACACTACAAAATCAATACATAAAATACTACTACATTCTAGACAGAATTCATACACCAAATTAAAGTTCAAGAGACTGAAATATATAAAAAAAATTCTTACCATTTAGCCATGATGTTTTAAACTCTGTTCTTACAGGATTTCTCATACCGCGAAGTATTATAGGTTCTGTTCCCAAGAAATTATTTGAAGTAGCCGAATAAAATTCCCCATCTGTAAATATTTGGAAGAAACAAAAAAGTATAATATACTTATTTTTAAAACGCAAAGATGTATCATAAGGAACAAATTGGGGTTGACATACAAAAATAGAATTAGGATAACAGTATCCCATAACTTAGTTTAGGTAGGAAAACCATCTCAGGTTGCATGTCAGTCCAAACATACCTACAAAAACAGATGCATACTTTAGAGTTGGTTCAAACGGACACTTCCCTCTGCTCTCTTCAGCTCTTCCTTGGAAGGTTATGTTCGTTCCATGGATAACCTATGACATTAAGTAATTTAAATAGGACAAAAAAAAATAATGTTCCATAAGCACCTTTCTGGTCTTTCATACTTTTACAAAAGTATTAGGAAAGCTTCTAAATTTCAACAGGAATATTTTAGGAAAGGTATTCAAAGATCTGCCATACTACTCAAATATCTTCAGTAAAACCTGCATTCAAACATAATCACCATATGATCACAAGCTGGGTGATACGCGTTCGTTCCACAAACATATAGGTTGGAGTCATTTATCTTATGGAGTAAGAGGATGTAGTTCTGACATCTTATCTAAAATAGAAAATAAAAATAAAATGTCCATAGTGTAGTGGATTGCACCTGAAAATACCCTGGTGTCTCAGCAGCAAGCAAACAAACCCAACAGATTCAAATGAACGTGCTTTTACTTTATTAAAAAGAAGCTTAATACTGTGACACTGTAGCCATTTTCATTTTAGTTAATAACTTAGTGGGGGAAACAGAAGTTCCTACCTTGTCCTTTCCTCTACGAATACATTCCAGTTGTCTTTCTTGTGTAGCAAACCAGTATTCCTAAAAGCCAAAAAATATCTGTAAGGTGGTATGTCACAATTTTTTATTATTTTTTTTCCCACAAAATTAGGTGTAAGAAAATCCCTAAATAAACCTAACTTTGAACCTATGGGGTAAATAAGCATTTTTTCCTATGTATCTCCGTAACATACGAGGCATAATAAATAAACTGAAGAAAGGCACTGCTTTGCTTAAAAAAAAAAATTCTGTGATAAAGTTTCAAGCCTTGAAATAATAATACTTTTATACATATAAAATCAGAACATTTTGTTCAAATTAAGAAAATCACAAGCAAAGTATTTTTTTAAAAAAGTATGGGGAAAAAAAAGAAGTGTTTCATTTACCCTGGCTATTTCTCTAGAAATATTATTCAAGTCAAGAGCAAATACTGCATCTCTGCCTCCAACAAATAAGGTATTGGTTTCTTCATTCACAAGGAGAGTGGACACGTTGGATAATCCTTCCCTCATAAAAGTGTTTGTATTTCCAGCTGCAAAACATAGAAGATAAGTTTTTAAAAATATTTACCACTAGAATCACAGTGTTATGTAATAAAAATTCCAGATTGAAAACAAATTGCAACAGAACAAGTAAAAGCTTGTATACATTTCCAGAATATTTTCTAAATAATGTGAAAGTATTTGAATAAATGCATGGATATTCTTTTCCCAATTTATTACAGGAAAATAATAATAATAACAACAATAATAATAATTTATTGTTGTTGTTGTTATTATTATTAAGCCAGAACCTCTAGCTACAACAATTATTGTTCAGGCATCCCTTACTGTCCTTTGGATGACTGAATCATGAATCGCACAATACCTGAGGTGAAACAGTACATAGCATTCTTTCTATGCCTAGTAAAAAATAAACTCACAACACTGGGCTATATTTCTTTCTGCTTGTGAAATTACTATTTTTCACTTACTTTGGTATTTTACTGTTTTTCTGGGAATGCAGTTCCCAACAGATGCGTTTGTCTCTTGTATTAATTGCAAAACAAGATAAAGGACAACAGCAGTGCTACCCATTTTCAGAGATTCAACTAGAAGTAAGTTCTTCCCAGTTTTTATTCCTTGTCATTAAAAAATTACAGGCAGCAATTTCTTCATGGTTCTTGAAAACGTCCTGCGGAAGCCCTCCAAAGGAAGTATCTGTAGTCTTCAAATATTTTCTGAAACTTGTCAAAACCTCTTACATTTTCCATTCAGATAACTACTTCCAGGCTTCCTAAAATTAAAAGCAGTTTAAGTTCACTGTAATATTTTAGCACCTCCATTTTTATGAGAGATGGACAACCGTGCCCTTTCACAAGATTTTGTAGCTATTACCTATACTTACACTAATCAGGAGCAGACACTACTCTGGTGGCAATTCCAGGCTATTACCAGGAAACCAAGCTTTGCACCAAGCCTGAGATTCTTATTTGCAAGCTGCGATGTTTCAGATTTTTTGCAGGGTATCTAAGTATTATTTCACAAACAGTAAGAACAAGTGGGGACATTTTGCAGCAGTCAGCTATTTCGAGTATTTAAGAAAAATCATAGCTAAAACTGCTTTATTTACAGTAATTCATCAGCTTTTATATATATTGAAATAATATCTACAGATCAAATCAACCATGTTATTAAAATAAGAATTTCTGGTTTATTAAGTTAATTAGAATCGGGTACTCTTACGCCTGGAATTTTGGCAGTCCATCTAAATGAATATGCCCTCCGGCCAACGCTAGAAAATTGAGCAAAATTAAAGCTAGGTAGTTGTCGTCTGCAATAACCACAAAGCCAGATTCCCAATCTGCTTTCATAAAGAAGGGAATCTCTGCTCTTTCTGCACTTTCATCTGTAGGAAAATGCCAACAGCTGAGGAAAATGCTTGCATTAGAATAAGCCAAGTAAGGTATTGTCTGGGTTAGAATCCTTTTCAGTCAGTACATCAGGTTGGAAAGTTCAGAATTAGCCCCTGGATTGTAACCCAGGGTGTGAGCCGGCATAGATGTGCCAAGGCATCTCCTTGGCCAACAGCACACATCTCCTAGGACGTGACTGTGGTATTTGAGAAGACTTTTCCCAGTGTCCTGTTTTATACTTCCCTTGGTTTTTTTTGCAGCACCTGGGATGATGGCTGGTCCTGGCACTGACAAGACACCAGGAGCTGGTAGCTGTCCTGTCCTATCACATCTTTGTTTCACTGGACAAACCTTAATTCTGACCTTGAATTCCCACAGCACGTTTTGCTTTAACCCCTTTCCTGACGGGCCCTTCTGGACTGCAGAATGTGGTGCAGCAGAGGCGGCCCAGGCCTGACCGACAGGAGGTTTGCCACCGCTTGCGGCCCCAGGCTCCCCAAGCTACACCCCCACCCAGGATCACTCCACTGAGCCTCCTCAGCCCTCTGGGGATGCCCCCCGCGCCCCGCGGGA